TAAATTATTTACCTACCTCATTACCGTACTAGAGTATAGTTAACTATTTTAAGATTTTTAAAAAAGTTTATTTATTTATTTTTGAGAGAGAGGGTGTGCACACATGTGTGCAAGCACAGGGGAGGGGCAGAGAGGGAGGGAGGGAGAGAATCCCAAGCAGGCTCCATGGTATCAGATACAGCTGGATGCCAGGCTTGATCCCACAAACTGTGATATCATGACCTGAGCCAAAATCAAGAGTTGGCACTTAACCGACTGAGCCACTCCGGCACCCCCACAGTAAATTCTTGAAATACTTCATTCATTTATCTTATTCCAGATAGCACAGAATGTAAGTGGGAAATTTACATTAGAGGAAATCCAAATGGCTAATGGTTAATCATAAAAAACTCCCTATTCAAATATTTTTGACCTACAAAAACAGCAATTTCATATGGTCCAACCAAGAAAAAGATGTTCCTTACAGCACTGCCCACTAAAAAAAAAAAATCTGTCAATGAGAAAACATTATGCGATATAGTTAAGCAATGTAGTATTTTACAGCAGTTAAAATAAACTGGCCAGATCACCAAACAATGTTAAATTTAAAAAGGGAATGTATAAAACATGTATACAATGATGCTATTTATATAAATGTAAATAGTACAAGTTAATACTGTTATTAGATATGGATACATACATGGCTGTGAAAGAATTAAACAAGGAACTGGAAGGGTATATACCAATTCCTAATAGCTGTAGCCTGTAGGGCAAAAGGGCTGGAACTTTGGGTTTGGCATGAAGGGGTCTTCAGCTTTATCTCTTATGATACTATTTTTTTTAATGAAGAAAATTTAATGAAATGTTAACATTTTAAATTCTGGGTATTGGGATTGCCATATGACTCTTGTGTGCTTTCTGCTTTTTTTTTCTGACTTCACAAAATAAAAGTTTAATAAAAATAAAAGATCAGTTTAATACAGGAAGGTAAGGAAAATAATTTGTAGCTAATGATCACCTTGACAACTTGTAAATTGCAGGAAAAAAAAAAAAAAAAACCCCAAATACAAGAAACTTGTGTCAAGTTCTCTTTAGTTCTTTTCCCTAATATTAAGGATCCGCCACACCAGAGATAGCACTCCGGGAGATATGTACATTTATCAAGACTGTTTCTAACAATATTGAGAAAAGAAGTTATCATGGCAAAAATATCTAAAACAGGAATTCTTTCTTTTTCTTTTTCTTTTTCTAAAACAGGAATTCTTAATCTAGGGTCTGCAAAGCCCTGACATTTGCATAGCACCTCATTTTCTGAGCAAGTTCACAGCTCTTCTCAGAGCTTTAAGAATCCTAAAGAAGATGAAAAACATCTAAAGCAAGTGCCTTGTTCATAATACACACTCACTATATTTGCAGGCTCTTCACGCTTTGTGGATCCTCCTGCACCTATAGTTCAGTCACAGGGCACTTCTCCCCAAAGCCCAGATAACGTCCTTTCCTCATCCTTTTCCCCTAATTCAAATGTCCGCACTTTGGAGCCTCTGAGCAGTTCACTCTGCAGTCTGTACACAAGTTCGAAGCATACAATAACATCGCATGATCAGGTTGCAAGCGTATGTAACTTTCAGTATCAGAAACATTGATTTATTTTTATTTTTTAAATGTCTATTTACTTTTGAGAGAGGGAGAGAGCACGCGCACGCAAGCAGGGGAGGGGCAGAGAGAGGGGGACAGAGGATCCAAAGCAGACTCTGCGCTGACAGCAGTGAGCCTGATGTGGGCCTAGAACTCAACAACCATGGGATCATGACCTGAGCTAAAGTCTGATAGTCAACTGAATGAGCCATCCAGGCACCCCCATTTTCTTAAATTACCATAATTTTGGGGTGCCTGGGTGGCTCCGTTGGTTAAGCTTCCGACTCTTGATTTTGGGTTGGGTCACCATCTGATGGTTGGTGAGTCAGAGTCCCACAGTGGGCTCTCTGCACTGACAGTGTATTCTGTCTCTGTCTGTCTCTGTCTCTGTCTCTCTGACCCTCAACCACTTGTGCTCTCTTTCTCTCTCTCTCAAAATTAAATAAACATTAAAAATAAATAAGTTGCCATAATTTTATTGCTTTTAGTCACAACATATTTTAAAATTTAAACGTTAAATTTAATAAACTAAAGGAAGGCATGACCTTTTCACATTTATCAAAAGCAGCATGGATTGAAAACTTTGACAAATATGAATACAAGACTTAGAGATCAGAAGCCAGAAAGGAATAAGGAGATCAAACAGATCAGTTATAGAGAGAGAGCTGCTTTCTCTATACTTCAACCAACTCAGAAACATCCATGTATTTACCTTTACAGATCAAAGTGGAAAGTGAAGAAACAGGCTTAGGGCTCAGAAGTATAGAAAACCCCTCTTTTATTAGAGTGTAGGAAAACTTTGCTATCTTTTTGAATTTTCCTGAATTGAGTGTATCCCCAATATATTCGTCTATGGCTGTTACAATAAAATTTCCTAATATGTCAACGCTCTAAGAAACCATCTGCGGAGCCAGTCTCCCACACTGAATCAGGGTTGGTCTGTGTGATCAGAAGAATTTGTCGTAAGCGATGGTAAAGGACTTCCAAGGCTAGATTATAGCAGACATTGTGGCATTTACCTCGTCCTCTCTTCAATTACTCAACTTTGGGGATGCTATAGGACAATCAAGCAGATCTATGGCTAGGTCCATGTGGTGAGAAACTGAGATCTCTTGCCTTAAGCCAGTAGCAAGTAATGGAGGCCTCTTGCTTATAGCCACATGGGGAAGCCACGTTAACATAAGATCCTCTGGTCCCAGGCAAGCCTTCAGATGACTGAAGGTTTTGCTCACATAGTGTCTGCAACCACAGGACAGACCCTGAGCTACAACCATTCAGTTTAGCTGCACCCACATTTATGAAACACAGAAATTGTGAGATGGGATAATTTGTTAATGCAATAGATAACTAATGCACATTGTACAAAATGAAAGAAGGCAGACAAAATAGGCCACATATTGGATGATCCTAGTGATGTGAAATGTCCATAATAGGCAAATCCAAAGAGACAGAAAGTAGGTTGGTGGTTTCCAGGGTCTCGGATGAGAAAGGAATGGGGAGCAATTGGTAATGAGTATTTCTTTTTTGGGGTGAAGATGTTCTGGAATTGAATGGGTGTACCCCTTGTGAATACACTAGAAACCAATGAATTGTACCTCCTTAAAAGGGTGAATTTTAAGGTATATGAATTGTGAATTGTATCTGAAGTATGTGTTTTTTCACATTACAGATTTGTGACCTGGAAATAGAGTGTGGCTATAACAGAAACCCAAAATGTGGGAGTGGATTTAGAACAGAGCAGGGGCTGGAAGTTGGATGGACTTTGAAGAGGGTGTTAGTGAAAACCTCAGGAGCCTCGAAGAAACCCTTCGGAAGTATGATGGCCTTTGAGGCTGAAGCTGTGGCCTTAAAGGACAGTGAGGAAAATCTTATTGGAAATCGGAGGAAAGGAATTCTAATTTTGCAGTGGCAGAAACACTTTTGGCCTGAAGGAACACAGAAAGTAGAAAATGTGCCCAATAAACAGGGGAATCCAGCTGAGATGTCCCGTGTTCAATGTGCCTCCTGCCTTCTTCCTGCTGCTTATACTAAAGGCACGAGAGACATAAGCTAAAGGAAGGACTACTTGATAAAAAGAATCAATAATGGATGGTTTGGAAAATTCCCAGACTCTCCAGATGGCAAATGAAGCTAAAATTAAGAAATGGCTTCAAGGCAAAGATAAAATTTAGGGCACTTCCTGGAAAACACAGTCTAAAGATGAAGCTGAGGTCCTGACTATAAAATCCTTTCACTGCTGGAAGAACCAAGATGGTGCCTCAGAGGGCTATATAAACAACAGGGTTTATTAGAAACAAGTGTTTCTAATGTTTACTAACATGAACCCGCGCCCCCCCCCCCCCCCCCCCCCCCCCCCCACCTCCCCGTGAGATTTGTAGGAAACTTGCCAGGTTGAAACAAATTACATTGGCAGGCACACTACTTAGACTGAAAGGACAGAGCACAAAAGAGGCCTTTGGGCCTCAAACTTGTATGAGCAGAAAGCAGGCTGAGAAAGCCACTCAGCTACCAACACATGCTACCTTTCATGAACAAATTATAACTCAGTGGGCAGAACCAGTGGCCTGGAGAATATAGCCAAGAACAAAGAATTATCCCCAGGCCTTGAGTACTAATCAAGGAGCTGCCAACCTGTGTCTGGTTGGATTTCAGAATTGCTAGAACTCATGTATGTCTTCCGTTTCCCCACTTTCTGAAGAGGAGGGTCTATAGCAATAACTGTACATATGTTGTGCCATTGCATGTTCCACATGTGGGGAGCAAATAACTTGTCTTTAGTTCACAGATCTCAGATACAGAGGAACTATACTTCAGGAACTACCCCCAAGGAACCTTACCCATACCTAGACCGGATTTACACGATAGATACTGGGCTATGAGCGGATACTATAATGGAAAGAAATTTCTGGAAAACTTGGGAGGATGTAAGCGTATTTTGTATGTAGAAAGGACATTAATGTAGACTTGTTAAAGATAATTCAGCTAGGACTGACATTTGTGAATGAGCAAGGAGAATACCCTCCAGGAACTTCAACTTGGCAGTTTAATTTTAAATTTAATTTGACAAAGGACATGTATGCCCAGGACTCTATAGAGCTACTAACAACATCTGGCATCCAGTTTAAAAAACATGAGGAGGAAGGAATTGAGACCCAGTACTTTGCAGAACTTCTTATGACATCGGGAGTGGTCCTCTGTGAAGGGGTCAAATGGTTATCATTTCATAGTGGTTATGACCTTGGCTATTTAATGAAAATCCTGACCAACTCTAACTTGCCTGAAGAACTTGACTTCTTGGAGATCCTTTGATTATTTTTTCCTGTCATATATGATGTGAAGTGCCTCATGAAGAGCTGCAAAAATCTCAAAGGTGGTTTACAGGAAGTTGCTGAACAGTTAGAGCTGGAACGGATAGGACCACAGCATCAAGCAGGATCTGATTCATTGCTCACAGGAATTGCCTTTTTCAAAATGAGAGAAGTATGAAGACATCAGTGCCTTTTTCTCAGTTGGTTGTTAGGTTGAGAACATTAAAAATCTTATGATTTTTAGAGCAGAGGTCAGACCGTGGTAGATGACCCCCCATGATCTCCATCCACTTCCTAATATTCATACCTTGTGTAATCCCTCCAAGATTGTATCACGGCTGGTCTGTGTAATCTAGAGAATATAGCATCTGTGATGGGGTATGATTTCTGAGGCTAGGCTATAAAAGACACTGACTTCTGCCTGGCTTATGGCTCTTCCTCTTTCCCTCCCTCTTTCTCTGTCCCTCTCTCTCAATGTCCCTCGAATCACTTGCTCTGGGAAAAGCCAATTAACATGAGACTAAGATACTTAGGCAGTCCTACGGAGAGGCCCACATGGTGAGAAACTGAGACCTCTTACCACCAGTCAAGTGAGTAAGCCATTTTAGAACAATTTCCTCCAGCTCCGGAGAAGCCTTGAGATGACTACATCTTGTCTGCAACCTCATTAGAGACTGGTGCCAGACTCACCCAGCCAGGCTACTGAATTCTTTTTTTTTTTTTTTTTTTTTTTTTTTTTTTTTTTTTTTTTTTTTTTTATTTTATTTTTTTATTTTATTTTTTATTTTTTTTTTTTCAACGTTTTTTTATTTATTTTTGGGACAGAGAGAGACAGAGCATGAACAGGGGAGGGGCAGAGAGAGAGGGAGACACAGAATCGGAAACAGGCTCCAGGCTCTGAGCCATCAGCCCAGAGCCCGACGCGGGGCTCGAACTCACGGAGCGAGAGATCGTGACCTGGCTGAAGTCAGACGCTTAACCGACTGCGCCACCCAGGCGCCCCGGCTACTGAATTCTTAAGCCTCAGAAACCATGAGTTAATTTTTTGTTCTTTTAAACTGCAATAGATAATATACAGTTTCTCATAAATTTGTTTCTGCTGTCATATTAAAATGACAGTATTTGAACTTTCCTGTAGAATATTTGCTTTATATTACACGTTCAAAAATATATTTTTTATCAGAATATTTTATTCAAGAATTAACACGTTTTTTTCAAAAAGTAAAAATAATAGTTACTTCCCTGAGTATAAAGAACTAATCCTACAATAAAAGACAATTACAAAAGTAAGCAATTAGAGGTACATAATTCTCTGCATTCAATTATACTCTATTACAAATCTATTTTTAAAAAACCTCATGTATTTTGGGATTCATGTTTCCAAAGACAACAACAAGAATAAAACAGCTCATTTTGTACCTGTGACGTTAAGATATGTCAGATCTGTCCTTATCAAATTCCAGAGCAATCTTTAAAGCAGTGCTGTTGAGGCCAACCGATTGCATGTTACATATGATAGAAACAACTATTCCTCTTGGGGGAACCTTGTTATTTATAGCTTCCGCATCCAGTTCTTCAGGAAGGACCAGCAGGACACTGCTGGCACCCACCGCACCTCCAGTATGTGAGGCATAATGCCGTTGCTTCCTACAAGAACCATATGTTTGCTTCTTTTCCACGACACCCCATGCCATCGCGTATTTACCCTCTTTATCCCAAGACATCTCTGTGTTAGGGACTGGTGTCCAAATCATAACCATCGTTTCTGGTTTGAGATATCCAGGTAAAAGATTTTCATGTGAGTTCTTAAACAGCCCGACTTGGTAACCATACAGCATTGCATTCCCAAATTTCAGAAGGTCACCCACTGTAGACAGAAATCCACCACCAGCCCATTTATAGGAGTTATCCACGTAAGGTGTGTTGACAAGACGTCTCTTTTTATTGTAAACGTAAAATCTAAAATGAAATAAGAATGGTCATTAAAAATTTAATAGTCTACTACTGACTTTACATATGAAAATGAATAGGAAAATATGTACATGAGACAGAATGTGTTTTCATGGAGCGATCATTCTCAGAAATCATTGATTTTCAGTATGATTCAGATTCTGATAAAAACATAAATAATTGAGTAATTAAAGCATAGAATGTGTGTCTTTTTCCCCCCTATTGGCATGGCTTGCCCATTCTGAGTGTATTATACTTTTAACACTGGTAAAAATGTACTGGTTGTTATACATGATACATTTACCCTGTGCATATGCAAAAACACTTCTTGTTTGGTAGATATTCCCAGTCCTTGGGGTCAATGAATCATGTGCCACATGTAACTTTTATAACTACAAGTGTATACATCAGGATATTTAAGAATAAAATTAATATTTGTAAGGATACTACATCTCCTGGTTAAAAATGCCATGGGAATACTATGTGTAGCGATGTCACATAGTACTTTCTTGGTGTAGTGAAAGTGGAGTTTGCAAACCTGTTTGAATCCCAACTCACCCTTCCTAGCTAGTGAAATATGCTTATTTTATTTGACTAACACTTACACAGCTCTTATTTTGTGCCAGGCATTGTTCTAAGAACTATGTAAGTATGAACTAATGACAGTTGGAGGTAGGTACCACTATAATTCCTATTTTACAGATAGAAAACTGAGGCACAGACGGTATAAATTTACTGGTCCCAGGTCACAAAGCTCGTAAGTGGCAGAGTTGGATTCAAACCCAGGCTGTCTGTTGCCTCTCTGCTTCAGCATCCTAATCTGTGAAGTGGTGACAAAAATACCTGCTTTGCAGAGTTAGGAATGCGTGCATGAATCCCTTTACACATTTCTGGTAGCTACCTAATAAACGTTAGCTTTCATTTACTCACACACTCAACAATTACTGGTGGAGCACTTACTATGCATGTGGCGCTGCTTAGATGCTGGAATGAAATGTTAAACAAAAGAGACCAAGCGCCTGACCTCATGAGCTTTCTACCCTAATAGGAGGACACTGCACCATCCCTATTAGGTAAATGGAATGAAATCACACAATAATTAGACATAAAATGAAACGTGGTTCAGGAGAATCCGTTCTTTCAAGATGCATAACAAAATGTGCTCTCAGGTTTGCAGTGTGCTGTCCATCTGTGATGACCTTCATCTTCTTCCCACCTTGGCTATTCCTAACACTGTCAGACTCAAGCTCACCATTACTTTCAGCTGCTTTATCAGCAAGGTCTCGAACTCGGGAATTTCTTCCTGGGACTGTGATTTCCAGTCCTGCCAAACTCTCCAACTGAACCTGCTCTCTGCCCTCATTGTGACTATTCCCCCTGGACTCCCATCTATTCCCCCTGTACTCTTCCCCATCTCCCCAGGTCTTGGAGTTCCTCTTGATCTCACCTGACTTTCTGTTTTAGCCTGAACTACTGTTTCAGCTGTGGTCTTACTAGCAGCACCTTTGGGTTCCTCACTCACCAATCCGCCAATCCTGAATAAATTTAGGCACCCCTTTCTTTGGATCCTTATCTGCCAAGGAAGGCTGCAGATACACAGCAAAGCTGACTGGTCTCAAGTCATACTCTTGCTAAGGGTTGTCACTGCTGTTACCAAATCTCCTTCTTTTCCTGGTTATTATCTGGTATGTTCTTCACAAGAGCTACTTCCAATCTCTTCCACCCTTGGTCATCCACCCCTGGCCAGTGAGCAGACAACTATATCCTTTGTTTTACTGAGAAAATTCCAGCCTACTCTAGGTGCTTTAGATGGCCTCAAACTGCCATCTTTATCTTAAAGTGCATTTACATTATCATGCGTTACTGTCTCCTTTCCAGTTACTTATGAAAATGTCTTATTATTTTTAAGACTAATTCTACTACCTGCATCTCTGCCTTTTTGCCTCTACACCCTCGTTCCACCAGTTCTACTTCCGAGATCATTTTATCTCCTTGCAGTCTATTCTCCATGCAGAAGCCTGAGACTGCGTCTCCCCCTTCTTCCATCCACTTGAAACCTTCCAATGGTTACCACTTTGAGGACAAAACCCAAGTTTCTTATGATGGACTATAACACAATTGATGGTCCTTAACAGAGGCAGTACTAAGTCCTTAAGGGAAATTTTTGGAGGCATTTGTTTAGGTGGCACAATTATTAGAGGGCTCTGACATTTAGTGGATAAAGGCTCAAGCGTCCTAAACGTCTTATGATGTATGGAAAAGTCCCACAAAGTGGTATTCTCCCATACCGTGTAAGACCTTCCACTATCCCACCAGACACTCATGGAAGTAAAAAATCTATTTAGGGGTGCCTAGGTGGCTCAGTCGGTTGAGCGTCCGACTTCAGCCCAGGTCATGATCTCGCGGTCTGTGAGTTCGAGCCCCGCGTCGGGCTCTGTGCTGACAGCTCAGAGCCTGGTGCCCATTTCGGATTCTGTGTCTCCCTCTCTCTCTGACCCTCCCCTGTTCATGCTCTGTCTCTCTCTGTCTCAAAAATAAACAAACATAAAAAAAATTAAAAAAAATCTATTTATAGTGGGCTGAGCCTCAAACCTCTCCATTTGGTACATAAACACAAAGTACTTTTTGCATGTATTTATTCTACGATGCCTTTTTCTTGAAAGTAACTATTGTGAAAACTGAAGAAAGACTGCACTTTATTTTGCTCAAACCTTTAGCCAGAGGCGGCCAACAGAGGCATGAGTTGAAGCACCAATACAATATACCTGTGGTGGTCTGCATTTACAGTTGTTACATTTACGATGTTTTTATGTATTAACTTGCATCTGACTTCATCATGTCTTCTAATGTTCTGAATAAACAAACATATTGAAATATCTACTATGTATTATAAATTACATTTCTTTTATTTTTTCTTTATTTAATGTTTATTTATTTTGGGAGAGAGGGTGACTGAGTGCGAGCAGAGGAGGGACAGAGGGAGAGGGAGACACAGAATCTGAAGCAGGCTCCAGGCTCTGAGCTGTCAGCACAGAGCCTGGCATGGGGCTCAAGCTCACAAATCTTGAGATCATGACCTGAGCTGAAGTCGGATGCTCAACTGACTGAGCCACCCAAGTGCCTCTCTTCTTTTATTTTAGAGTAGTGAGTATAGGTAATATGATCTACAACTTTCATTTCAAGATATTAAAAGAAGTATTATAAAATATTTGTGAAATTAAGGGGCAGAGGTCTAATGGCATTGAGACTCACCATCCAATATGATTTTGTCCCTCCTTCTTTGATCTCATCACTTAGAACATCTTCTGTTGCTTCTTTTGTGCCAGACTTATTTCTGTATTTGCAACAAGGCAATTTAGCCTTCCTTATCAGTCATGTCTAAAACCAATGTATTTTATTTTTTTATTTAAAAAAAACTTTTTTCTTCAACGTTTATTTATTTTTGAGACAGAGAGAGACAGAGCATGAACAGGGGAGGGGCAGAGAGAGAGGGAGACACAGAATCTGAAACAGGCTCCAGGCTCTGAGTGGTCAGCACAGAGCCCGACGCGGGGCTCGAACTCAGGGGCCGTGAGATCATGACCTGAGCCGAAGTCGGACGCTTAACCGACCAAGCCACCCAGGTGCCCCAAAAAAACCAATGTATTTTAAATGGATCCCCTACCTCTCTCCATGTTACTTTTTATCCCATGTTCTCTTTTATTTTCTTCCTATCAGTATCTGAAATTCTTAGCCTGTTTGTCTTTTTCCCATAAAAGCAGGAACCTTACCTATCTTGCTCCTTGATGATTCCCCTATGTAGAACAGTATTTGCCATCCACTGAGTGCTCATTAAACGTGTTCAATATAGAGTGGCTCAGTCGGTTAAGTGTCTGACTTCAGCTCAGGTCATGATCTCACCATTCATGACTTCGAGCCCTGTGTCGGGCTCTGTGCTGACAGCTCAATGCCAGGAGCCTGCTTCGGATTCTATGTCTCCCTCTCTTTGCCCCTCCCTTGCTCATGCCTCTGTCTCTGTCTCTCTCTCTCAAAAAAAAGTAAATAAACATTAAAAAAAAAGTTTTCAATACATGAAAACATCACTTGTTGGCCAAATATTTAATGGAGACACCTTGGAAGGCACTGGAGAGACAGGTTAAACCATACACCGGCTGCTTTCAAGGTGCTAACAGTCTTGTTGGATAAATTTCAAAGCACTATATGAATCACCTGGGGATTTTGTTAAAATGCAGATTCTTCAGTGGGTCTGGGGAGGGGGTAACATTCTGCAAGTCTAACAAGCTCTCAGGTGATGCCAATATTGTTGGATCCTGGACCACACTCTGAGAAACAGGTTGTGGGGTGATTAGCAAGATGGATGTGAGGACTCCTGAGCACTAGTGAGAGTGAGCCTTGTTGAAATGGCCGATTATAGAGGCCAGGCTGGGGAGCAAAGTCGTTCTTTTGGCTGAGGCAGAGAGTTTGAGGGGATAAGTGGCAGAAGGTGATGCTGGAAGACAAGACATGGGCCAGGGGACAGGTCACAAAGAACTTTCTATGTCACGCTAGGAGCCTTGACTCCTTCACTTTAGTTCACAAAATGCTCTGGTTTTCTGTATCCTAAGGGGGGGAAAAGCCTTTTATCTTTTTATCCTCGTTACAGCTTCCAGTTGTCAGTCCTTTCTCTCTTCTCATTTACTTCCCAACCACACAGAGCAGCCCATACCTTCTGTTTCCACGCACTCACCCTCTCTAGTCATTCAACTCCTTAAAACCTGGCTTCTGGTCTTTAGTCACTCAACAGCTCTCTTGTGGGTTTTCAAGGCTCTCCTAATTCCCTCATCCAGGCTGTATCCTATTTGCCCCCGCAGCAATGTTAACCAGATTTTCCTCCAGACTCCCCCTCGGGCCAGTCTGCTCTCCGCTTCTAGATCTCAATCCCGATTCCCTACATCTCCTTCAATCACTGTGGCCCCGCTTTCCCAAGTCTTCTCTTCTACAGAGGTAACTATAAATCTCCATCAGTTCCACAGCCCCTGTTCCAAATTACAATCAGATTTTCTACTAGCATTAATAATTCTCAAATCTGGTTTTGGGGAAAGGCAGGGAAGTTGTTTATCAGAATCACCTGTGGGCCTCCCCTCTCTCAAAATTGTACCCTTCCCTCAAAATCCATAACTTTGGAGGATATGTGGGCATACATAATTTGAAAAATCACTCCTTTCTGCCTTCCTTCAAGAATCTTATATGTCCCCTAAAAGTCTGAGGCATAACACTGGGAGAAGCAGGGGTGGCCAAAGGTATTTGCTTTGAAGGTGGCGGGGGGGGGGGAAGCCTACAGAGAATCTTAATATGCTCTCTTGAGAACCAATGACTTGATATGTGTGTGGTCTTCTCATTTCTCATAATGAACATGTCCAAAATTAAATTAATCTCTTCCAAAACTTCTTCTCATATTTCTCATCTCCATTAAAACTCTGGTTGACTCTCTTGCCCTCAACTCTCACATCCATCAAGATGCTAAATTCTATGATTCAACTTCTGCTTTGTGACTTACCCTTTTCCCTTCCTTCATTCCTATGGCTTCTCCAATATTTTAGGGCCTCCTTACTTTCTTCCTGAACTCTGATAACACTTCTAATTCCAGCCAGTGAAATCGAAATGAAACCACATAATAGAAATACATTTTCTCATTGGGTAATGTATGTTTTACAGTGAACTACAAATTTGTAAACTAGGGGAGAACTACCAGTATATTTTGGCTGATAATCAGCTGTGAGTAACTTTCTTTTAACAGTAAAGCATTCCAAACTGCTTATATCAAAGCTGGAAATTAGTACTCCTCAGGCATTCCTCTTTTAAAATATAAAAATATGGACAATTTCAGACTCCAATCAAGAATTCCAAATTTTAAATAAACAAATTCTAGGCTTTAATCTCTTGATTCCTTTTCACAGAGAACAAGTTAATGACTTTTCGTGAAAATAATTTTGTTCAGCTAAAAGATATGTTTACCATTTCAAATTCTTAAGGAATTTCTGCTCTAAAAAGAATGGAATATAGACACAAGTTCTTGAGTAAGTTACTGAGACATCTTTGTAACTGAGTAACTGATGGAATAATGCCAGATGACAAACAGCCTCTTCCTACTTATTTAAGAATCTCTAGATTCTGCACAACAGCATTATATAACTATAGAAATCTATATCAACTTAGAAATTGAAAATATTTTTATTTTTACAATGCTTCTTAAATCCCTTTAGAAATCAATATGCACCAGTTCATGTTATATTGTTATGAGAAGTTTAAAAACCCACAGAATTTAAAATGCATATTATAAAAACCAATCCCACACTTTGACATTTAGCATTAACATTTGGATTGAACCTATTACTTGAGAGCCTATCAGCTAATGGCACAGAAAAGAGCTACCTAAGTAACAATGCTTAATTATGGAAGATACTGTAGCAAACAAAGCTAATAAGTAATAATCATAAAGATAATAACTGGAGGTACAGACCATATCTACACTGTCAAACTATAGCAAACACTTTGGAAAGCATCCATTGTATTAGCTTTCGGTCCCATCCATTATAAAAGAGATTTTTGTTGCCAACTATTATGCCAAACTCAGAAAATATGAACAGAGTCTAAAAATAAACATCTTAAAAAAAAAAAAAAAGGGCGGAGCACCTGGGTGGCTCAGTGGGTTAAGCATCTAATTTTGGCTCAGGTCATGATCTCGCAGTCTGTGAATTCAAGCCCCATGTAGGGCTCTGTGCTGACAGCTCAGAGCCCGAAGCCTGTTTCAGATTCTGTTTGTCTCTCTCTCTCCCTCAAAAATAAATAAACATTAAAAAAATTTTTTTCATATTCTTTAAAAAAATAAAATGAAAATAAGCTAATGTACTGACTAGGGATTCCCCTATCAATAAACTGAGTGTATTTCAGTATAAGAATATTCAGTCCACTCCCCCCATGGGTATTTGCTTAAAGGGTTATTTAGTTTACTTGCCTATACAGAATATACTTGTTATACAGAATTAATATATCTATTTGTGTATACTAAGTCAATGTTCCTCATCTTCCATTTAAGAAAATCCCAGTTTTATTCAAGACATCAATGTATCCAGCTAAAAACTAATTTCTCTGCATCTCTTACAGCTAAGTGTGGCCTGTTGCTAAAATTGTGGCCAAAGAAATATAAGTAGTATTTTGGGATGGGATTCCAGGGAAATACCCTAAACAGGTGACAGACACTGGGAGGTATTATTTTAAACACACAGATATACACACAGAGAAGTGATAAAGATGATACGTATTTACTCTTGGGTTATAATAACTCTAACAAGCCTGTTATGATAATATAAATATGCTTAAATTTATGATTATGATCAAGAAGTCAGGAGACTAACAAAGCAGTGAACTTGTTTAACATAAACAAATAGAAACATACGCATTTACCAAGTTTTACTTTAAGATTTTTTTGTCTTTAAAAAACCGTATCTCTGAAATTTCCTTATACTCCCTGAATTCACTTAAAAAGCTAGTGCTTTTAAGCTCTTTTAAAATAATTATTACCAAAAAAATAATCAGAGTTGAGTTTTAGAGGCCCAAATAGATACTGTAGTAAGTAAAACAAAGGCAAAGCAAACAGACAGACCATTTTCACAGGTAACAATATTCCCTTCTTCTAGTGCCCTTTTTCAGCAGCCCATTTAATAGAACTAAAATGAATCAACTACCCCTTTAGTTCCACTGGGTACTATCAAAATCTAACAAATCAGAGCTGACAGGAGCCTTTAACAAAAGAAATGGAAACCCATGGCCTTTTCTTTTCTTTCTTTTTTTAAGAATGGGAGATAAGCTGAAATTAACTCAGCATCATATGCCATATTTTGATTTTCGTGCAAGTCACGAACAGCAAATAACTGCCCTGCAGTCTGTACCTTCATAGAGTCTTCATTTTCAGTTTAGAAAAGAAGCTGAGTGATTACACCTAATGTTCTCTCCCCCTTACATATAAGTATAAGCATTATCAAATGCCTAGATCTAAAACAAAATAAGGTCATGCATCTATGCCATCTTTACTAGAGAATCATTTTAGATTCAATTGACAAACTCTGGCATTTTCTTATGCTTTCCAGGAGAATGTAATGTGGGATCTAAAAATAATACACTAATTGTTTGAAGAGGTTGAGAACCATAGGCCATTTTAAAATTAAAATTCATTGTTTGCTGCTAACCTAATTTCTTTTAGATCCAAAAAAACCTCTCTTAGGCTGATTTGCAATGTACATTTAATCCTTTTCAATAAACTGGTAATTTTAAAATGGCAATTTAACTATAACAGAAGACTGAACAAAACCAATAAAGGGATAAGAAGATAAAGCTAAAATAATCCCACTATGAAAGTACCATTAAGCCATTTGCAAAGCATGAACTAAGAAAAATATACAAAATAAAAGTAACAGTTGCTTTGTTAAACGTGTTACCTTTCTAACAAACCAAATAGTAATGAGTGAAATGCAAAAGAAAACACAACCATACAACTCATCATAGTCATTAGTCTCAAAAATTCTCTCCCAATAACCCTTTTACAAATCACTAGTAAAAATTATGATAAAATTTTAGTTTGATACATTTCAATTAAATGACTCAAACTTCTACAGGGGACAAACCTATCAGTGCCACCTCAAAAAGCAATTAAGTCACTATCACCAACAATGGGATGGACTGACCTCATGTGACTTCTGAGAGACATGACAACTAAATGTAATGTATGAACCTAGACTAGATCCTGAACCAGAAAATAGTATTTTTTCCTTTTCTTTTGCTATAAAGGACATTACTGGAAGAACTGGCAAAATTTGAATAAGGTCGGTAGATCTGATAGAAGTATTGTGTTGATATTCATTTCCTGAATGTCCTTATTTTTAGAAAATATATATTTAAGTATTTACGGGTAAAGGGGCACCATGTCTGCAACTTATTTCCAAATGGTTGAGAAAAAAAGAATGAATAAAGCAAATGTGGTAAAAAGACAACATTTGGGGAATCCAGGTGAAAGGTATATGGGAATTCTTTGTACTTCATCTTGTAACTTTTCTATTAAGTATTAAATCATTTCAAAATTGAAAAACCATTAAAAAATAATAAAAGGTAAAGTATTAGCTACAACATAAGAAAAGAGATGATGGAAGAGCATATTATAGATGCCCATGATAGGTGCAATTGTGGTTCAATTAATAATGAGTTGAAATTATTATTGCTGTCTTTCATCTGAGGAACTTGGGGTACTTTGCAAATACATTCAATTTCTCTTACTTTATAGATGGAAAAACAGACATGCGGAAAAGCTCTAAAATGTGGCACATGTGATTTTGGAACGGAGACAAGGAAAGTCTGACTTTTAATGAACAACACAACGTTAAGATGTGATACAGCTAGACGCACCAGACGGTATCATTTACCTTGCTCTATTGTAAATCACTGGCTCATTTTCTTCCTGCACAGTTGTCAGCATATCCAAGTCATGGAATATTTTCTGCATATAGTCCAAATATTTATATCCTGAAGCTCTTTCTACTATGGCTGCCAGTAGGGTATAGCCAAAAGTTGAATACAAAAACTGACTACCTTGAGACATCATTGCAAGGGGGAGGGAAGAAAAGAAAATGCTTCATTATTATTTACAATCATAAAACGTTTCCCACTGAAAACTGGCATACCTTTACAACTGGAATATTTTACTTCAGCATTTAGAAAAAGATAATGGGTGATATGTTAATAAATTTTGTCAACTTTGCAATGGCCCTGCTTACTCCATGATTCAATGAAGATCAGAATACTTAACATTTCACATGAATCTACTCCTTCTGCGATAATGAATAAGCAAACTTATCCTTCCTCAAAATTAAATTCAAATCCTTCAAACTGGTAACAAAACAGAAAGGGGAAGAAAAGCAAATTTGGTTTCTTGAGTTAACGGTCTTGTTCTTAGTATATCTAATACTCATTGTTTAAGGCATGAATTAGTTGTGTACTTTCTTATTTTAATAAAGCATATGTAGGTAGAAAGACTTTGTTTCAAATATACATTAAAATACAAATATATATTCAAATACAGATACATTTCAAATACATACCTTTATGTCATTTGGGATTCTGGAAACACAGATTGTATGATCTGTGCTAATAATTGTAACCTGATTTTTTAAGACAAAATCCAGAATTCTATTCCTTTGTCCTTATTAATTATACCTATATAATATGTCTTCATGGTAGAAAACAACTTTTAAAATAGAAATGGAATAGAAGTACATACGCTTATGGTAAATTCAAAGATATTAAGTGGTTTTGGTAGGCATCATACCAAAAAACATGTTCACAAAAATTTTTTGTAGTCAGCTTTTTGGGAAATAAAATTAAGTTGCTGAAAACTATTTTCTTTAAGGAGTGAAAGCAGAAAATAAGTGGAGCAATTTAAACACTAAATTAGACACTAAATACTGACATATTGGCAATATTTTATCATGCCCTCTTTGGTCCAGAGTTTATTTGGAGAACATTGTAACATTTCTCCCTAATTTTTCAAAAATCTCTTGATACAGAAAATCCACTAAATGACTGATAAGGCTAAATCTAAACAACTCGCTACCTGGAGGGTAGGCTGTGTCAAGAACTACAGACTAAAAGGCACACACTTGTCTAACAGCGAAACCCATGCCGCAATCATCAACCACATCCAGTGCTCTCGGGGTGAGATCATCTTAGATTTTCTGAAAATTAATACTTCAATAATGATGACTTTGTTAAGAGAGGGAATTAACACTCACCAGGTTTAAAGAACAAAGGGTCATTTTTAAATAATCTTAGTGATTCGATTGAATTTTCAAACTTTTCTTTCAAATATAATTCGCCTTGTTCAAAATCATTCTTTTTCTTGCCAGGTTTTAAATTCCGGCCTTTGGCATCATTATCTTGCTCTATCTTAGCTTTAGCAAAGTCACTCTTTTCGTTACTTTTGCCTCCTTTTTCTTTGAACTCTTTTTCTTGGTCAGATTCCATCGTCCCTTTCATCATCTTCGAGGCTTTGTAAGCTTTCTCTTCTTTCACCTTTTTCATGTCCTTTTCATAATGACGAATTCCACTTAAATGGGAGATCAACAATCTTGTTGTGACAGAAACCTAATTGTAAAAACATGGAAATTCAATTATAATATTAAACTGCATAATAAAAAGTTAGTAGCCTTAGAATAATGCCTCAGTACTGTTTTCCATTTTAAACTGCTGCTGGAAAAACATGTCATGTTCACATCTTCAGCCTTAAGTTTCAGAAAAATACACAATCACTTATCATCTGCATTAAAAAAAAACTTTAATCCATTAACAATCATTAAAAACAAACTGAAGAATCTTGTGAAACCTTTTAAATCATTTAACATGCCGTCAGTAAAATGAACTATGAGTTTCATCACCTTTTCACCTTCGTATTCTTTTTCTGGGAATTCAGGAACATAATGTTGTACTGGAATATCAAGATCCAGTTTCCCAGCTTCCCACAATTTGGCAAGAGCAACCATGGTGAGGCTTTTGCTGATACTGGCAATTCTCATAACAGTCTCTGGCTTGCAGGGTACTCGGTTCTCAACATCAGCATAACCTAAACCTTTAGAAAAAGAAAAGCAAAAAGTCACTATTAACAGGCTTCATGGTCAAAAGAATCTTCAGAAACTGACGCAATACTATCTTAAAACATCCCATGTATTTATCTAAAGGAAAAGATATTCCATTAAAAAAATTTTTTTTTTTAACGTTTATTTATTTTTTGAGAGAGAGAGACACTGCGAGTCGGGGAGGAACAGAGAGAGGGAAACACAGAATCTGAAGCAGACTCCAGGCTCCGAGCTGTCAGCACAGAGCCCGACTCAGGGCTTGAATTCATGAACCTCAAGATCATGACCTGAGCCGAAGTAGGAGGCTCAACCGACTGAGCCACCCAGGCACCCTGATATTACACTTTCATAAAAAAGTCAACACTTAAGGGAAGAGAACCTCAGTAACACTGCCAACAGTAAGGCTAAGAATCTTCTAACTGAGCCAAAATTACACACTGTGCACGATAGCAATTTTCTATCTGCTTCAGATCCTAATTATTCTTAGTTTATCTCAACAATTCAGTTATTCCACATTTCACATAAGTTATTCTATATTCTTTAAAGAAAACATCTTTGTTCTCTGATTATATTTATTTTTGATTCTTGAGTTTCCACTAAATTCCTTAAAATAGCCACGCAGGAAAAGTAAACGTGAGGGGCACCTGGGTGGCTCAGTGGGTTAAGCAACCAACTCTTGATTTTGGCTCAGGTCATGATCTCACAGTTTCCTGACTTTCCCTGCACCAGCAGCCCAGAGCCTGCTTGAGATTCTCCCTCTCTCTCTGCCCCTCCCCTGCTTGCACTCAGTCTCTCTCAAAATAAATAAATAAACTTAAAAAAAAAAGTAAACATGAAAAGGTGTCCTGCAAACCCAAT